TGAGAGGTACACTGATTAAGTTTTGTAAAGTAGGTCTCTTTTTAGCTTGACATACATCATGTAGTCCCTGCAATTTGACAGCAATTTTTTCTGTAAGTAAATGGTATAACTGATCAAGAGTTCATTCATTTCCTTTCTTGTTCAAGAAGTCCACAATGCAAGTCTTGATGAAATGTACAGGTCCTCCAGTTCCTTCGCGGACAGATAAGGGACGGATTTTGGTGTGTTAATTTGGGTGTTTTAATTAGGATTCATTTTAGAGGAAATTGGGTGGGTATTGGGTTATGGGGCAGATAGTTGGATTATGGGTTAAAAAAAGGGTCAAACGGGTAGTTCAATAGGATTAAGACACGTGTAAGAAATTAGGGGTCCGTTAGTGAGAGAGGTATATGTGTACCTATAATTGGACGGCAGGGACTTATGTTGACGCTAAGTATAACGGAGGGCATATACGTACCATTTATTAAAGTTCGGGGGTAAATCCGTCCCTTTTCCCTTTAAACTTTATCCTTAATTTGCTTGATAGAAATATTATCAACCAAAACTTGTTCAGAGAGATTATTTTCGTTCAGCTTACCTTGGGATCCTTTTCACCGTGTACTATAATCTTTTCTTGATTCTTGACATACCACGAGGAAAGTGGAAGAAGATCTGGATGAATTAAACAACTTAACTTATTTGACATTCTATTTGTAGTTTAAAAGCTACTCAATATAATTTCTAGTAAAATATTCTTTCTTCTCCTTTTACTTGGAAGTATTATTATTTCGTAAAAGCACTTGAGTGCTTCATTATACCTAATTAAGTAAATTCTACAGCTGCCACCTCATTTTATGTTAACCGGAAGAAAAATAATAGTACTACTTTAAGTGGAGAGGCAAGTACACCTTACATAAAAAAACATCTTCCCAATTAATTAACGGCAATAGTTTAATTGTCGCTAAATATGTATTTTTAGCGGTAATTAACACTTTTTGTATTAATTCCTAAAATCTTTAGCGACATTGAATCTAATGACACTTAACTAATGTCGATAAAAAACTTTACCACTCCTTATTAATGTATCTATTTACTAACGCTAAAAGTTATTTTCGTTGCAGTAACACATCTAATATCGTCAAAGGTTATTTCTTCTTCATAAAGGCTGTTAAACTTGAAGTAAAATCAAAGAAGGATTTGGACCACTTTCTATTAATTAATTAACATATATATATCCAAACTATTATAAATATGCATTCTTTAGCTCCTTGTATTTGTCAAACAAAAAGAAATGGAAATTACGATGATTTTTTCACGGATATCTTTTGCTCTCCAACTCTTCTTTATATGCCACTTCATTACATCAGGTATTTAAGTCTTTGCGACATCTCATCTAATTAAGCACATTTTGTCTTTAATTAATTAAAATATGCAGTTTTGATTCCCTTGCTTGTGAATATTTACAAAATTTCAAAATTATTAAATCAAATCGATTAATGAATTACTCATTTTTATGTTATTGTGTTGTGTTACACCATATTTGAAATTCACTTGTTTTTTCAGAAAAACATATTCCTTCGTACCAAACACCCCCATAGTTATACATAATTTATGCAGTACCATATAGTATTTATTATGGAACAATTTTTGTGCAGGTAAACTAAGAGAGGTGGAGGGATGCAGTATTTACATTAGTAACAAATGCCCCTTCCCTATATGGCCAGCAACTGCCCCAAATACGGGCCATCCAGTTTTAGCGGACGGTGGTTTCTACCTTCCATCCGGCGGAGTTCGCCGAATTGGTGCCCCAGGGGACTGGAGTGGACGCATTTGGGCTCGAACTGGCTGCAATTTCGACGTGTCCACCAATCACAAACCGGCCTGTGAAACAGGCGATTGTGACGGAAAACTTGAATGTGAAGGAACTATAGGCCTTCCTCCAGCTACACTAGTAGAAATGACAATACAATATGATAAAAAGCAGCCAAGTTTCTACGATGTAAGCTTAGTTGATGGATATAACCTCCCTGTTTCGGTAACAAATAAGCCTTCATCATCAAAATGTCTTATTAGAGGGTGCACCCAAAACATGAAAGACACGTGTCCAACTGAGCTTCAGGTATGTTATGTTGAATATAATTGCATGACCATCTCATATATACTATAAAAAAGATGTATATTTTTATTTACTTGATTATGATTCTTTTAATAGGTTGTAAATGATGAAGGACAAGTGGTGGCGTGTAAAAGTGCTTGTTTGGCTTTCAATCTTGACTCGTTTTGTTGTAGGAACAAATATGGGAGTCCTGAAAAATGCAAGCCGAGTGTGTACTCAAGTTTGTTCAAGAAAGCTTGTCCCTCTTACGTTAGTTATGCTTTCGACACGCCTTCGCCTGTAGTCAGCTGTTCATCCGATCAATCTGTTATAACTTTCTGTCCAGATAAATGGGGCACTGAACATGTATCTGTTTGATAAATTAATTACTCTCTAGTTTATACAATCAGCAAGTATTTTATTATCTTTAGTTAGCTGCAATATTGTCATATGTACACAAAATAATCTTTGATTCTATATTCATATTAAAGAGTTTAAGTTATATGTGTTGTATCATGATCAGATCACTTTTAGGTAACCAATTGTTGGTGGAACTAGTAAAATTGATATGCAACTTCGTTGAGGTTAGAGTTCAAAACCGTTGCATGACATTATTAAAAATGACCAAAAACAAATTTGGCTTAATTGTTTTGAAAATGAGAATGGTTATATATCCAACAATAATTATTTCTATACAAAGTTTTACTTTTATGTTTGTTTAAAGAGAATTTTGTATAAAGTTGTAATCAATCTATGATACATCAAAATTTTGGTTAAGCGTCGAATTATATTTATAACAAATTAACTTCAAATAATTAATTCCTCATATGATATAATGCTTGGTTCATAGGTGCCCCAAATCGGTTCCATGGATATTATTACCATGTATGATCTGTATATAAATAATATGTACATTAATATTTATTATAGATTGAGGATACACCAACTGACAACTTCAAATTATTTCTGCTAAGGGGGTGAAAATTTCTTAAGTCGGCTGGCTAAAAATGTTAAGATCTCATAAAACTCTGGTAACTGGGCCTAATAATTGAAAGCCCAAATTTTATGTAACTGGGCCTAATCGGTTCTGAGCTCAACCCGACCCGACCCTTCTTGAAAATAGAAATTGATTCCTAATTGAATAGGTACTAATTTTAGGACTTGAAGACAATTTCTTTCCTTCTTGAAAAGGTTTTCCTCTTTTATTTATATTTATAGTAGGAATAGAAGACAATTTCTTTGATGTTATAATTTAAAAACAGAATACAATAAAAATAGAAATTTACCAATTATAATAGTTTGAACTATATTAATAATGTAAACGGTTACAATTTTCAGGTATATAATTCAAATCCTACTACAATACGACTTGTGAAACTAATGAATTTCCTTGTTCTACATTAACTTGGCCAATGCAATGGGCACTATATATACACACCTTCAAGGTGAAAAAATTAATGTAATTTAAGGTAGGGAAAAGACAATGGGAGCATCATTGACTGAATTAGGGTCCAAGCTTGCTGGACTAATGTTCATATGGGGCACAATTCAACAACTTTTCCCTCAAATACTCTGCAAACGAATCGAATCCTTCTGGACTCGACTCGAATATTACTTCTATCCTTATGTTCAAATTACGATTAATGAACTCACCAATGGAAAAAGTAACGAAATTTACAGACATGTTGACAGTTATTTGGGTACTAAGTCTGTCGACACTAGTGCTAAGTATCTCAAAGCTGAAAAATCCGAAAACAGCAAGTCTTTCGCTGTTATCTTGGACGAAGGAGAAGAAATCATTGATGAATTCGAAGGCGCTATATTCTGCTGGCGCTCTCACAATGAAACGTTCGATGATAATTCTCAGGGGAGTAAAAAAACCCAGCCTACTGAAAAGAAAAGTTACACAATTACATTCAATAAGCAACATCGAGAGATTGTCACGGGAAAATACTTGAAACATGTGATTGAAGAAGGCAGGGCAATTGAGTTCAAGAATAAGAAACAGAGGATTTATTGTAACGACAGTATGCCTACTTGGTGGTTGCGTTTAAACTCAATGTGGAAGCACATCAATTTTGAGCACCCTGCAACTTTTGATACTCTGGCTATGGATCCTAAGAAGAAAGCGGAAATAATCAACGATCTCATTGCTTTCAGCAAGGGGAAGGATTATTATTCCAAAGTTGGAAAGGCGTGGAAGCGTGGTTATCTTCTTTATGGTCCACCAGGAACTGGAAAATCAACTATGATTGCAGCAATTTCAAATTACTTGAACTATGATATTTATGATCTTGAGCTAACCACTGTTAAGGATAACTTAGAACTTAAGAAGTTGCTCATGGAAACAACAAGCAAGTCTATTATTGTCATTGAAGACATTGATTGTTCCGTTGATCTCACTGGCAAGAGAAACAAGGCAAAAAAGAATAAGAAGAAGGACGACTCAGATTCCGACTCAGATTCGGACTCTGATTCCAACTCAGATTCGGATTCAGACTCTGAAGGCAAAAAAAAACTTACACTTTCAGGGTTGTTGAATTTCATTGATGGCATTTGGTCAGCTTGTGGTGAAGAGAGAATTATTATATTTACGACTAATCATGTTGACAAACTTGATCCAGCTTTGATACGTAGAGGACGAATGGATATGCACATTGAGATGTCGTATTGCAGATACGAAGCATTCAAAGTGTTGGCTAAGAATTACTTGGGCATTGATACACATCCTCTGTTTCAAGAGATTGAACCTTTACTAGAGGAAGTAAACATGAGTCCTTGTGATGTCGCGGAGAGCTTGATACGCAAGAATACTTCTGGAGGGATTGAGATTTGCTTGAATAACTTGATTCTGGCTTTGAAAGAGGCCAAGGAAAAGGCAATAGAAGAAGCCAGGGAGAAGGAAAAACAAGATTCGGAACGAGTCAAGGAAGAAAATCCCAAGAAAAATAAAAAGTTGTCAACAAAATTTTATGGCCGTTTTAAAAAGCTTTTCAGATGATGTTTTCATATTTTATCTTCTTTAGGTATAGGTACTAGTAGTTTTATTATATTGTTATGTAGGAGTATACTCAATTTTGTTTATTATGTCTTTATATTCATTGTTGTTTATAGGTACTAGTAGTTTTATTGTTTTCTTACTTGCAACTCAGTACAGTAAATTTTTGAATCCTGGATTATTTTTCCTCGATTTTCAGTGGTTACTTTATTATTATTTTTTCGCCTTCTGAACGATAAGTTCATGATCCAAATATAACTTCTCTGTTCATTACACTGTGACAACTAATGATTCTACATGACAAATATGATCAACAGAGAAAGCTTTAGGAAACAACTTAAGCGTATGTTTGGTTAGACAAACACTAATATGAAAAATAAAAAAGGAAAGAGTACAACAGCATCTTATTTTTTCTAGAACTAGAACTGATATTCGGGAACAACCTCTCTACCCTACGAAGGTAGGGATAAGGTCTCCATACATTCCACCCTCCTCGAAACCCATACTAGGTATGTTGTTATTGTTGTTGTAAATCATCATTCAAACAGCTTTTTGAAACGGCCATAAGTTTTTACTAATTTTGTGGAGGATTTTTTGTTCTTCTGGGAATTCAAGCTTGCCTTTCTCTTGGCCTTTTTCAAAACTTTGATTAAGTTTTCCAAGCAAATCTCAGGCTTTCCTGAAGCATTTTTGGGCATCAAGTTCTCAGCCACATCACAAGGACTCACGTCTACTTCCTGTAATAAACGTTGAATCTCTTGAAACAGAGGATGTGTTTCAATTCCCAAGTAATTCTTAGCCAACACTTTGAATGCTTCATATTTGCAATACGACATCTCAATGTGCATATCCATCCGTCCTCTACGTATCAGAGCTGGATCAAGTTTGTCAACATGATTAGTCGTAAATATAATAATTCTCTCTTGACCACAAGCTGACCATATTCCATCTATAAAATTCAGCAGCCCCGAAAGAGTAAGTTTGCCTGATTCATTCTTGTCGCTCTTTTTCTCTGTAGTCGAGTCTGAATCTTCTTCCTCCTCCTCATTCGTCGTTTCCTTTTTCTTTTTCTTCTTTCTCTTGCCTGTGAGATCGATAGAACAATCGACATCTTCAATGACAATGATGGACTTGCTTGTTGTTTCCATGAGCAACTTCTTAAGTTCTAAGTTATCCTTAACAGTGGTTAGCTCAAGATCATAAATATCATAGTTCAAGAAATTCGCAATAGCTGCAATCATAGTTGATTTTCCAGTTCCTGGTGGACCATAAAGAAGGTAGCCGCGCTTCCACGCCTTTCCAACCTTGGAATAGTAGTCCTTCCCCTTGCTGAAAGCAACGAGATCATTGATTATTTCTTCCTTCTTCGTAGGATCCATAGCGAGAGTATCAAATGTTGCAGGGTGCTCGAAATTGATGTGCCTCCACATACCTATAAATGGTACAAAAATAACAAATCTTTTAGTAATTCATCCAAGTTATTTTATTATACCACATGATCTATGTACTTACCTTTACCATACCAATGCCACTCCCCCTCTTCGTTAGAGTAGATCTTCTGCTTCTTGTTCTTGAACTCAATGGCCTTGCCTTCTTCCATCACATGTCTCAAATATTGTCCAGTGACCATATCTTGATTTTTCTTATCGAAAGTTAGCGTATAACATTTCTTTTCAATCGGAAGTTGAGAACGTCCCCCTGGAGAATTATCAGGGAATGTTTCCTTGTAAGAGTTCCATTTAAGCTTGACACCATGGAATTCATCAATTACCTCTTCTCCTTCGTCCAAACTAACAGCTAAAGACTTGCTCTTCTTGAACATTTCAGCTTTAAGATACTTTGCATCGTTAGTGGACTTAGTACCTAAATAAACTTTGATAAGAGAGTAGACTTCATTTCTTTTATTGTTGGAGTATTCATCGATGGTAATTTGGACATAAGGGTAGAAATAATTTTCGATTCGATGCCACAATGCTTTGATGCGTTTGTAGAAAGAACGGGGGACAAGTTGCTGAATTGTGCCCAAAATGAACATCAGTCCAGCAAGCTTGGAGCATAATTCAGTCAATGTATCTACCATGTTGTCCTTTTTAATTTTAGCTATATTTGTGTGCAAGATTTTGGATGAAGACAAGAAGTGTATTAGTATGAAGTTAATGATGGGGCTTAGTAAAACTATACATACAACTATATATAGCAGGGGAACAAAGGCACTTCGTGCGGCACTAATACAAAAAAAGTTGGCCGGTTCCCAGTTGAACGCGGTCCGCTTTAAGGGAACTTCACTACAATTGTGTATTTTTATGGAACTTTTCGCGCATCAGGTAAACTCACTCATGTGCAATAGCTCAAAAACCATAGTGTAAGTCACACTAGATAAATTTGATGGGATGAACTCTACGTAGATGGAATCATTCTTGAACCTTCCTTACGAAATATCACCTACTGCACCAACTCAATCATCTTTACGATACTACAATTGAATATTATTTCCTAAGAACATGGCTATTCCTTGGGACTCAAGTAAATTGAAAATGAAATATAAAATCAATATGTTCGTTTCCGACTTAATTTCCACAACTTTTTGGGGGGAAATGGACAAAAAACTGAAAAGATGGTCCAACGAGCTATAAACTACTCCCATCACTTTTGCTTTTTCATTCAATACAAATTTCTTATGTAAAAGTGGCTTCGATCTTCATTATAAAATTGGGCATTCTACACGTTCCAATACTCAACCATTTAATGTAAAATACTATATGTTATACGACGGAGTACTACCTTGGCCACGAAGCATTTCATGGAAAGAGTTAAAAGCTATATACACTAATTAACTATGTACACATTTTCGTTACGCTATTATTGAATTTTAGTATTTTATAGCAGATTGCTTTATCATTTTCGTTACACTATTAATGAAATGGGTGTTTATTTTGTCCCTAATTACTTGTCCATTTTTCTTTTTATAGATATCCCTAATTACTTGTTCATTTTAACAAATAAAAAAAGGACAATTTTTTTTTAATCTATTATACCCTCAATTAATTACTTTGAAAAAGGTAGAACTTCGCGAGAATCTAAAGTTTTTAATTCATCCACTTCATAATTAATAGGGGTAAAATAGTAAACTCACTATGTCAATAATTGTTTTCTTAATAGGTGTAGCAATTCAAAAGTGGACAAGTAATTAGGGATAGAGGGGGTAACTATTTACACGTATTTTCTCTATCCTAATGTATTTGACACATTTTTTCTTTTTAGTCCAGCTTAAAAAAACAAGACACATTTTTATATTTAGTAATAATTAAAACTTTTTTATTCTAATTAAATGATTTATAGTTGCACAACAAGTTTAAATTAAAAAATTTAAATTTCATGTCAAGTCAAATTATTTTACCTAAATCGAGATGGAGGAAGTAATTAGTATTTACTAAGTGACATAATCGTATTGAACGTAAATTCTGGAAGAAATTTTCTTTGGCTTACTTTAATTACCACAATGACACATTCTTAATTGTAGCAATTATACACTATTACTTTGTTTTTCATTAAATCATATCCCACCGAGCTAACTTTCGGGTTGTCATTAGGCTCAATTGTAGTATTTTTTTCATGGTATCAATCTATTAGATTCCAGGTTATGAATTTGATTTTCAAGAGCTAACATGTATGTTATTGAGACAGATATTGAAAGTGAAATTGTTGGGTAACGCACCTATGGCAAGGCCCATAAAAGGACTAAGGTGCCCCGATCGAATGATAGAACATGACTCTTGAAAATAATCAATGAGTTTCTCGTCTCTCATAGTATTATGAACAGTACGTATCATTGCTTCTTGGAAGTTGGAACCTTCTAAAAGCATTGCCTTTGGATAACATTTTAAGTGAAAAAATAATTAAAGAAATAAGGTCAAAAGAACCTTTCGTTAAAAATCAAAATGTGGAAAGAATCTTTCTACAGTTTCGACTTTCGAGGAAAGAAAGGGTATGTGTGTGTCACAGTTTGATCTAAAAGTATCTTTTTAATATACTTTTGGGTAAAAAATGTTATTTCAAAACATGTTATTTTCCAGTAAAAATATTGTAATCACGTTATTATATATATATATATAAGATCATAATAATTATCATTTTGATAATCATAAAAAAAAAAAAAAAAATAATAATAAATATTTTTTTTCGAATTTTTGAAGGATATGTTTTAAAGTTAAGATACAAACATAATAATGTCATAAAAATATGAAACTTTATTTTCATTGCATCAAATTTCAGCATATCTTTAAAATATCGATAATGTCATGAAAATATGAAACTTTCAAATTACAGCATATCTTTAATACATCGATAGAATTATTTTTTACCCTCTTTACATATTACTAATTTAAAATCAAGAAATTTATTAGCAAATGTGTATCTTACCTCAATTCAAAAAATATTGATAAAATAAAAATATTTTCTATTTACTAGATTTTTAAAATCATTATCAAAATGAAAATCAATTATGTAATAGTTGTGACATATATTATCAATTTAAAAAGTATATGAGGTAATTATATTTTAATTGATAAAAGAAGATCATGAAGAAAATAGATTATTTTCGACTTTTATACTAGTAAAATGAATGTTAATAGAAGAAGAAAAAAAGGAATAGGTTCTCTAAAAATGGTATTTTATAGAAAAATAACGTGTTTTAAAAAAAACAATATCTTTATTCCCAAAAAAAACTGATATTTTTATCTACAAATAATAATAAGAATATAATATTTTTAGACCAAAATATTAATTGGTTATATTCGTTCAATTTCATATAATTTAAAGATATTTTTAATCATTTTCTGTTGAATCAGTTACTTATCTTATACTTACAAAGGAGGTAAATCATGACAATCTAATTTTGTAATATAAGTAGTAATAAAGAGCATTATACTTGAGAAAATTACCACTCGTATATAAGTTATCGGAACACTTCAAATTAACAAGAAATTTACTCGCTGCAGTAAATT